TCTCTCTCTCTCTCTCTTTCTCTCTCTCTTTAGATATTTACTACAACATCGATAATATACATCCGAGCTTATGTAAGAACATATTGTTGAAAGTACAATATTTTATCACGAATTATTCTTGAGTTACACCTCGAGTTACACGCAAATCTCGGAATATCTACGCAATTTTCGAATCTAAAATATATCTAAAATATCGTGATTCTGCACAAAATATCAATTTCCAATTGCAAAAGAAAAAGAGATACATTATAATATATGAATATTGGCGTATTCATTTCCGGAATTACATTCCGATGATAAATTTCATGGAAGAACGAAAACGCAACGTACGCGCGGCGTCATTACGCGACGTTACGGCCCTCCTCTCCGCGCGTGTCCCATTAAGTCGAAATTTCGGCGCGGTTCAGCGACGTGTAATTTGGCGAAACCCTTATAACGTCGTCGTCGAAGGCGAAGCCCGGCGAGCGTGACAGTGTGCACGGGGCTTAATCGCGTTTGCTTATTTCCGCCGTTGGCCGGTGCAATTATGTTGTGGAGAACGTGCGCGCGCGCACGCTCTCGCACTCTCTCGCCTCCCTGCATAAGGGCTTATTTTATTCCTATTAGGGTAAAACGGGTAGCCGGGACGGACGGGACGCACACTACCGTGTACCCACAATTACGTGAAATTAATTTGGGCCCCATTAGCGGTCGGCCGCGCCGCTGCCGGGGCACTAACGATTTTCCCCAGCGGCGGACACGGTCGAACGAGACGGTGCCTGTCGTGCACCGCAAATACTATTGTATACACATATTCGAGCACGTATATGTTCCATATATGTCGCATTCTTTTGCGCCATGACAGTGTTTCTTCTTTCTTCCCGCGAGACGTGAGACCCGCGCTAGAGGGATTTATGGAAATTTTCTTAATCGCGCGTCGGCGTCGTTAAGTTACGATATCCACCGCGATATATACTAATGTTACTGCTACTTATACGTAGCTCGTCGCCGCAATCACGAGTGTGTCGGGGTGTGCAATTATTTTCCTTTAAGAGGCCATAAATTAACCGAGTATAAACTGTACTTGTTGCTTTTTTCATTAATGCAAATTTATACGTGTGCGCTGCAAAAATTATCTTATCCCTCTATACGTATTCTTTTCACTTTGTATTGGAGGCTATGCTATTGTGAATAGAGTTCGTGATAAATTAAGTCGTAATTAAATCAAAAGCCAATTATAATTTGATAAATGTTCCTCTTTCAGATTTATCACGGAAAGAGTTAAGTGATTAACGTAAAAGTTAAAGGTTACATTATATTGTGGGTATAGTAGACACGCGGTATATCGCTAAAATAGAAAACGAGCGTGGCCTAGTAGACAGCGCACTGGTCTATTGAGCCGAAGTCTCGGGTTAGAGCCCCAGTAAAGGGGCTAGAAAAATTATATTCGCTCATTCTCCTCTCGGAAGGCAATAGCAAACCACCGAGAATGGTTTCTGTAGCTAACCTTCGCCACGCAAGGATCTTTAAACATTTCGATGTAATCGCGATTTTGCGTTGCAGGTTTGCACCGTGTAATAAACTCGTCCAGTGAGAGGATCTTAAATGGCAGAGTCGTCATTTGTCACCGAGCAAAGTGTACGTAATAATGAGAATTATCGTATCATTTTATCTCGAGTCATTTTTTACTCGAACTTGAGACAACCGTATAGGTACTTAGACGGATGACACTAAGTGCAAAATTACAGCAATATTTCCCCGATATATACGTCACGGATGAGGATGACTCTCCTCGAAGCGGCAATCGCACTTTGTATAATTGCAGGTTACAGCGACGAACGGATGCGCTTATTAGCTGAAAGCGGTAGGAAATCGCAGTTTTATTATTCTCCTCTTTTTCGCAAGTGTCCGTTAAAGGTTCCACGCGGCTCGCTTCCCGAAGGTAACGGCCCTATGGAAACCGAAGAAGAAAGGAAGAAGGGCCCCGGCGCGAGAGGATGTGGTTAACCCCACGGTCAAATCGAGCTTTTGCCGGGTTTCTGCATCCTGAAACGCGGCGACAAAAGAGAATCGCCGGAACAGAAGTACGCGGCGCGACGTCCTGTCCGAGTCAATGTGCCGTTCCTTCTTCAGTTCCTGTATCGCTTTGTGATTTTGTTTTTTTGACCGTTCGATGATGAGTCATTTAAATTGCAAGAGTAAGCAAGAAGAAGAACCGAGCGTTTGGCTGAGAAACTTAACTTTAAGCTTAAAACTTTATATTTACAGCGGTTTACAAAAGTAATAAAAACATTTTATGTATTTGGGAATACAATTTTGCGCGCGAATATATTATTGAAACTACAATATTTATTGCCTTTTTCAAAAATTAA